TATTCAAATTCCTAACCACCAAAAAGGCCAGCAACACCTCTGGTGTTTCCTGGAGCGGCACCCATTGCTTGCCATCAGGAGCATCAGGTGATGAGGTGACCCATATGCTCATTTCAAAAACGGGTAATGGTATCGCAAATGAATACTGCAAAATATTTTATCCTTATGAATAAATAATTAATTCTTCCCCTGTCCAATTGTGTAGGGCAGGTAGGTTGCAGGGGTTCTGGCTCGCAGTGCAGAAGTAGGAACGGGGTGCTTTTTAGTCAGTAAGAATCTGACACTTCCTCCCCTGCCTCACCCGGGCAGAAGCCATTGGATGATTTTCCCTCCTCAAAAAAATAATATATATACCGGAGGCCCATTTACCCCCAGCCCCAAGTACCCCCATACCCAATCTCACCAATCCCAATAATATTCAAATTCCTAACCACCAAAAAGGCCAGCAACACCTCTGGTGTTTCCTGGAGCGGCACCCATTGCTTGCCATCAGGAGCATCAGGTGATGAGGTGACCCATATGCTCATTTCAAAAACGGGTAATGGTATCGCAAATGAATACTGCAAAATATTTTATTCTTATGAATAAACTAGCTGTTGCCCGCGACTTCGTCCGCGTAGAATAATGACTTCTGGCAGAATTTAGGCTTTTGAATTAGTTTTTATCAAGGGATATTCTACGGTAATGGATGTCATCGGAATTGATTCAGTTCCGTAGATGATAGCGTGATAATATGTAGCCTATATGTTTACCAGACTTGTTAGTAATATTCATGCAAAATTTGAAATAGTAGTGCAGTACTTTTTGAGATCATCACGGCCATACATACAGACAAATAGACAAAAATTCTAAAAACCACATTATTGGCTTCGGTATCGATTAGAGATCACGCTTCAAATATTATTTTAAAAAATATTCAATGTACATTGACTTTTCTACGATTTATTATATGTGTAGATAGCTGTTGCCCGCGACTTCGTCCGCGTAGATTAATGACTTCTGACAGAATTAACCAGAATCAATTCAGTGCCCAAGTAAGATTTACCTATTTTGAAATGATTTATAGTAGTTTCAATAAATAAATAATCCCGCAGGTATCTTACCAGTACAGTGCCCGATCACGTAAGGTTTGAGTAATAAAAACTATTCTATCGACTATTGTTGTACCGAATCTCTCTAGAATAAGTTCAGTGGTTAAGAGTTAGAGAGTCCTGGGGCATTGACGCATAGTTCCTGTTCTCGTGAGACATCTGTGAAAAAACTATCATACGTTACCCAGGTCCCAAATCATCGTTTTACCGAATGTAATTCAAAAAGATTCAATGATTCTAAATTCAACGGCTAAGAAGATTTATACAAACTCTCATTCCCTATTTTATCCCCTTAGGGGTGGAATTTATCAAAATCCTTTCTAAAGAGATACCTATGTCATAGTAACTTTATGCATGCAAAGTCTCAGCCCGATCAATTTAAAACTGGCAAAGTATCATACTTTGGGGTGAGAATGTTCAAAAACCTTTCTAAAGGGACGTTTACGTCATAATATCCATCTGCACGCCGAATTTCAACCCGATCGGTGTAAAACTGACAAAGCCTCACACAAACGTTCATCCCCTATTTTACCCCCTTGGTGGAAATTATCAAAATCCTTTCAAAGCGGATGCTTACGTCATAACATCTATCTGCATGCCAAATTTCAACCTGATCGGTTTAAAACTGACAAAGGCTCATATAAACTTTCATCCCCTATTTTACCCACTTGGGGGTGGAAATTATCAAAATCCTTTCACAGCGGACGCCTACGTCGTAACATCTATCTGCATGCCAAATTACAACCCGATCGGTTTAAAACTGACAAAGTCTCATACAAACTTTCATCCCCTATTTTACCCCCATTGGGGGTGGAAATTATCAAAATCCTTTCACATCGGATGCTTACGTCATAACATCTATCTGCATGCCAAATTACAACCCGATCGGTTTAAAACTGACAAAGTCTCATACAAACTTTCATCCCCTTTTTTACCCCCTTGGGGGTGGAAATTATCAAAATCCTTTCTTAGCGAATGCCTACGTCATAACATCTATCTGTATGCCAAATTTTAGCCCAATCTGTCCAGCGGTTTGGGCTGTGCGTTGATAGATCACTATGTCAGTCAGTCAATCAGTCAGTCAGTCAATCACCTTTGAATTTTATATATATAGATAATTAATTCTTCCCTTGTCCAATTGTGTAGGGCAGGTAGGTACTTTCACTCCGTATTTTGTTAATACTTACGCATACGTAGCTATATTTAGCGATTATAGACTTACGTACTGAGACGTCGCCCCGACCGGACCATCGGACGCAGCGGAGTCTCGGTCCCCCGCTCTAGGCGGGTTGGTAGACTCCGCCCCACCGGACTCGATAACGCGCCGCTAACAGCTTGCTGCTCGCCAGGCTCGCCCCGAGTTTTTTTTAAATTTTCCGGTACATAAATAGGTAATACGTTCATATTTATATAATACCCCTATTACATGGGACTCATGACATAAATAGTGAAAAGTGCTGTAATGTGCACCTCTGCCTACCCCTTCGGGGATAAAAGGCGTGATGATGTCTTATACGTTAGTAATCTGGCTTTTTGCATCAAATAAATATTTTATTATTTATTATTTTATACCTACCTACTTCTAGTATTTTTATACCTCGGTTGGAATCATCATGAATCTAAACTTCATTCTATTCATTCAGCCCGCAAAGGTGTTGCTTACGCCCTCTATGGATGCCACTTGTAAAACTACTTACGTAGAGATCATTCCTAGGGACTATCTACAGAAATTTAAAACTGTTTTTTTTTGTAATCTTTTTTAGATTTATTTTATTTATAAGTGTCTAACCTTCCCTGGATTTCCAAGTATAATTCAAGACCAAAATTAGCTAAATCGGTTAAGCTGTTCTCGAGTTTTAGCGAGACTAACGAAAGGAAATTCATTTTTATTTATATAAGTTCTAATATGTAAGCATTCGTAAACATTCATAGATCAATTACTCAAACGCAAATTACACTGGATGCAAACTTACTATCTACCTGCACTAAGCTATTGAAGACACAATCAAATCCCTACGTACTTATTACTCCTCGGACTATCAGACAACCTCGATTTAAGCTTTCAAGAGTTTTAAGGCATTGCTAACGCCATCTGGGGATATCCCTTGTTAAATTATCTACTGCGACCTGCTGTACCAGCTACGCTGCTCTACGTGTCCCGCCTACATGACTCCATAAAGGTTGAGGAGATTGTGGAGTTCATCAAGATCAAGGCAAAGCTTCATCTGAAGGTTGAGCAACTGCACTCGCTACACAGAGTGGACTTCAAGTCTTTTGTAGTCAGGGTGCCGACTGAACATCTGCCAACCTTAATGAAAGAGGAGTTTTGGCCGCGAGGGGTAGTCTTCCGACGGTTCCGAGGTCGGCTACCGGACACTGTGCGACACACGACGCCGTCTATTTGTGTGACCTAGTTATTAAGTACTTAATTGAGTAATTATTTTGTTTGTAATGTATGTATAGTATTTATAAATCTTCAAATGTATTAGTTTATAGTATTCGATATGGGCCTGTGATGCCTGAAATAAATAAAATAAAATAAACTACTTAAGGCCTAAGAGGTGTGGAAAACAGACAGGGATTTTTAGAACAAAATGTTAAGTTTTACAGAATTATTGTATGTTTATAACTTGCCTACATTACATACTTATTTGAAAAGTTAAGAATATTTTAGCCAGCGGGCGCCGTTACCTAAATACGCATGACTAGGTATATATCGTCATTGTACCAGTTACCCAAATGTAAAAAACGCTAAAACCATTCATACACATATCAATTTCTTCATCCTCAGCCTCCTCAGAGCTTTGTGTAAAAACTTGAATTATTTGAGGTACTGCTAGCTCCATCTATACATTGTATACCATACACACCTTTAGAACAAGACACCAAGGGATTTTTGAACAAGGTTTACGTTTTTATAAGTATTGTTTCACTTAATTTAAATATTTGTACGTGTTTCCTGTCCCTACATTATTATACAGATATATTACTAAATATTCTGTTCTACGAACAGCTGTGAAATTAATTATAATCAAAGGATAAAAATATGTAAGGCCACAATGTTTTGAGGAATGTAATAAAGCCTTTATTTTAAAAGATCCAAAACAAATAGGTATTGTAGTTTAGGTATTGACTGCAAATCCTTAACTAAATTAAACATACCATGCTTTAGTAGATTAAGTAGGCTCCATGTACACGTTTTTTGTACGAAAATTATTCTTTCTTTCTACAAAAGGTACAAAATCTATTATAGACAAAATACATATGACTTATAAGTAATACATGATACAACAAGCACAAATAATGTACTACATTCAAAGTATGCAAAAGCATTAGAAAACTTTATCACCTCTAGAGATGAAAAACTCACCAAAATATCGCAAAACAATAACTGGCTCGTTTAATGTCACAATAACTGTTATTCTCATACATGGGCGTGGACATAAACACTACAAAACATTCGGTGCTGTACATGTAACTACAGGTACCTATTCTATTATAAGCCATTTCTATAATAATTTCGAACTTGTTATGCAGACAACGACTCTGACAAGATCACTTACTCACAATACGATTAATAAAGATTTAAAAGTCGTTTGCTAATATTTATACAAGGGCAAAATATCAATTTTACGTTCTTTGCTTCGAGTAGAATATTTCAGAATGTTTATTTAGGAATTCTTATTAAATAACAGATTGTGCTGCCACTTTAGTAAATGGTAGACTGAATTATTCGACTTTTATTAGGTCGTCCAACGGAGGACATACCAGACCATTAGGTACTTAAGACAAATACTATGTAGACTAAATAATAACATAACTGGGAAAAATTGATATACTATCCATAATTACACTCCTAACTAATGACTACTAGGACTTATAATAAGGAGAGAAATGAAAGACAAATAATTAGAAAATACAGATTATTTATAATCGTGTATACATCTAAGCTGCGGTATAGAATAATAATACAAATCACACAAACAATTCAGTGATGACAGTAAGTTCTATTAGACAAGAGCGGTTTAGTATCGCTTAAAATAACATACATACACATTTTGTCGGTTGGCGCTCCAACCGACTGTTTAGGAAAAGTAACAACCGTGAAGTGTGCCACTACAATAACATAGTAGTATTTATTGCATAGAATACACATTACAATCGCCACGTAGAATAAACACCAACATCAATCAGAAACAAATGCATTACGCAGCTGCAGCTATCTTGTTAAGATTTAATATGTGTCATTTTATTGTAACTCTAACACGGATTTTACTATTTTTCTAGTACATACTTGAGAGAAAAACTATGAGTATATATTGTTTATGAGATCGAACACTATTACATATATTAAACTTTTGCTCGTGTTTGCTAGTTATGTGAAAATTATCATAAATAAATCAAAAAGAAGTGCGCGAATTTCCTATAATTTTGAACAATTTTCCAATTTGAAAGTTAAGACTAATTACATAAAAATATACGAGCTTGGCCCAATCTGTAGTCTTCCCGGTGCCTTACATGCTAATCTCTAACCAGTCACTTATAAACCACCACTATGTAAGACGACTTCGAGGCCTGGTAGGCGGAACTGCGGTCGGTGATTGCGGCAAGTCATCAACGATTTCACTCCAGCAACGTAACAACAGTCTTTTCGCACCTCACGCCAGAAGAAAACAGTAACAAGTCCTCATCTCATACACTAGAACATCCCTTTATGCCACATTACTGACTTCGAAGTTCATTTCAATCATTACATAACAAATTTAAAAGGTATCAAATTGTGTTTGTAAAGTAACGTCAGAATCTGAACTAAAATATTATAGATGAACCTTCATACAAGTCTAACAGATAAACTTTGTCACATTTCACTAAATTCTTAAAAGCAGAGGACTATTTACCAAAGATTGTGATGGTTATAACAATTATATCAACAGTTGTCGAAAAGTAAATAAGCATAATAACAAAATTTCTGCATACAATCAGTGTTTAGGTTATCATACCAAATATACAAGACATTTACTTCATAATAACGAACTACTTGAACATATATAAATGATGGCAATGAATAAGCATCGACCATTGTGTATAATATTCATCATTCTAATATACACAATCCAAAGTAGTTACAAAGTCTGTTATTTATATACGAGTAACGATCTTTCCAGCCAATTGTAAACAGAAATAACAAAGTTTTGACAACTACATAATAAATTTTTAAAACTTAATATAATTGCTTTCGAACTATAACTGCCAGGTTAGTGATGCATATCCTTTATGCATATAACATTATAATAATCTGTATTTTAAAGTAATTGTGAAAAAAAAAACAAAAATAGAAAAAAACTAGTTAGTAAGAAAACGATGTAACAGCATCAATTGTATCCTAAGTTTTAAAATTCCCTTCCCTTCTAACGAATAATCTAATATTGCAGATATCTAATCGAATTAGTATTTAAAATTTGAGAACTTCATCAGAATCACAAAAATATATTATGCTAATCAACATTGAAGGAAACAGTTACAGCATTTTCTTACTAACGAAGTATTGGAATTAATAACTTAATTTGATTTGAAATCACCTGTGGTAAAATTGTAGCCAATTATTGTTGATATGTTGTATTTATTTCGTTCGGCAGTAGAGTACAAAATAATTTTACTCTAAACATTTCGTAATCAAATCATAGACACTTCTTGTTGATATTATTACTGTAACACATGTTTACTTTTAGGGCCCAATCACTATCCTATCATCATGGCCAAAACTTACTTTGGATTTAGAGAACATAGATTTGATTAATGCTAATAATGTAACCTGCAAGGGTTCCGTACATTCTAACTACTTTGAAGGAAGGTCTGCAGAGTGTGTTCGTCCTAATTAAACGACGAGCAAGCAACATGTTATGATATGTACTTAAAATTTGACTGTTACTATCAATCCCTATTAAGGAAAAACCACCTACAAACTATTGACTATTGAATTAGACATGTTTACGTATTATCATTATCATTACATATCATATTTTGCTAAACGAACATGATTTTAAACATTGATATATCATGAATTGAACTATAATTAAATACGGAACCCATCTAACTACGAACAGACAGAGTTAAATTGTAACATCTAATTCCCGAATATACCATCATAATATGTTAATAAATCTAGAGTAAACAGTGTGTTTAGCCTCTCGAGTCGAGACATATTTGCATAATTATACCTGAAGGTTTTCTCCACTTTCAATGAAACACTGATATTGTTACTTCATAATACATAATTGCAATTTGTTTACGACCTACGAACAACACAACCCGTCAATACAATAGGTATTTCATTTCAAAATTAGATTACAATAATATTATGTTGGCACTAATGTGTAAAATTGTGGATACATGTCACAAAGCATAAAGGAACTCGATTTAATTTTCACAAATTTCCTTATTCATCTCATAATAATTAATATAGTATATATTCATTCGCTAAAGTAGCTTCGTCAGGAACAAATTGCCAATCAAAAGCAATAATAATATGTATTTAGCATCAAATTAAAATATTAAACTGTCAAGCACCAAGCGGTCACCGGTGACCGCAACCTATTGTTCTATAATTGTGTCTACAAAACCGGTACTCGACGAGTTAATCTTCATCAAGAATATCATAATAGTAAATTCTATTGATAGATAATTTTAACATATTATGTATGAAGCACAATATCAGTAAAGTAACGATACGTAATAAATATTTACAAAGTGATAAATATAATAAATAGTAAGTCGCTTGAATTGACAGTAATCCTTTGTCATTAGTGATCACTTTGTAAGTTTTTAAAACATATTTTGTATGTGTCACATCTGTGTATACATATATGTTCGAAGACAAGCACACTTGTAATATATGCTCCTGTTCCAATGTTGCCGCGGGCTTGAATCAAGGGCATAGATTAGCCTACAGCCTCACTAAGAATTTAAGCCTTAGCTGGCCGCCTACGCATGTGAACTAAGAACAGTTTACTTAGCCGTCGGAGTGCGAAGCAGCTCCGGTGCTCCAACTGCGATGCTAAAACGAACGAGCAATTTAGAGCTGATATACCTATTTGTATTAATTATAGCGTAAGCGGCAAATTGGAGGATATATTCAACAAGTGTGATGAATGTTTACGAGTAATATTTGCTATGTTACATTTACGAGCCGAATTTGAATTTGGTTGGCACCTGTGCAGGTACGGTGAACATATAGCCTGGAAGAGAAAAAATAACTGATTTACTAACCTAGATATTAATATAATTTAATTCATGTGTATCTTTTATTTGAATACTATTATATAAAACGGAAGTTTGTTTTCTTTTTTTGTTTGTTTGAACGCGCTAATCTCCGTAACTACAAGTCTGAATTGATTTTCTTTTTTTTGTGTTGGATAGCGCATTTATCGAGGATGGCTATAGGCTATGAAACATCACGTTATGACCAATAGGAGCTGAGCAGAGCGTGTGAAACCCGGAAGTAGCTAGTTTGAATATAAATCAAGAGGCGTTAAGAGAAACAAAATGTTTTTGAGATACTTTTACAAGCATATATACTTTACCTCCACTTTGCTCAATGCGTTTACTGTCCTGCTGCGCCTTGCGCTGGTCTGCTAATACGAAGACAGCGTTTAGCTGCTTCTGTTGCAATTCGTTGAGCCCGCTCGTGAGGGCATGGTACAGGGCTGGCTCAGTAGTCGAGAGCGCTGAAGATTGATAAAAACAATTTGTTACAAAAGGCATGTTAAAACAACACAAAACAATCAAAACTGCATTTATAACAGATAAATTGTAAGTCATTTTTGGTATACATGATGTCGTTACAATAGATCCAATTGAATGTCTAGTGAACAGTGTTGCTACTTTACAAATCTGAATAAAGACAGATTGTGTGAGACTATTTAATAAGTAAGCTGAAACCAACACTATTGTTAAATCCTATACTTTATTACTTAGCGGAAAGTGTGAAAACTTCATAACAATCAATTTAATGACATTTAAATGCAGTATTTCTTAAATACAGCAATGATACTTACTGTGCAATGTAGTTTTGAATTTGATATACTCGTCAATGACGCAGTCCTTGTCATCAAGAGGAGTTGTATAGCATTCTATGGCGGTATCCTCTGGCTCATAATCGTCGTCATCCTGAGAACAGAACGAACCACTTCTAATGATAACCTACAACTAAGCTACGACATTCGTGGGTGAAGTTGGCTATGATTATATGTCGAATGACGCCAAGACCACGGAATTAGCTACTGCTGTAACCAACTAGCTCTACAAACAATACAAAGTTTTGGAACATTGCTTTCGATCTTGTTAGTCATTGAACAAAGGTCTACTATCAAAACTGTTTTCGTTTTTACACAGAGACATGTATTCGTTTTTAATCTCTTATTTACAGATATGTGATAACAATAATTACGATATGATACTTATGGCATGGATACTAAATACTTGGAAGTAGTATTTTACTTCGTCTAGTGCTACAAAGGTAAATCTTACGATAGGTTGCCAAGCTTTATTCTGCGGTGGCGCAGTGGATTCAGCGGGTCTTGGGTCTTTCTGTCAGAAAAACATTGTTAAAACGAATATCCTTAAAACGGCCTAAGAACTGAAGTCTGATGACACATTAACTTCAATTTTCATAGAAAAATATTGTTATTTCGACAATCACCATACACAACACAATCCCATCACCCATTAGTAGGATAAGTTTGCGTAAGCATGTTAAAGACCAACCCTTTCACATTTTAAGTAATGTAAGTTAATCAAAAGTAAATATTTATTATTCCCATAATGCACCCATGAAAATAGTGAAAACAAATAACAAGTAATTAAACACTGGGTACTCACAGATAACACAAAAATCCACCTCCGGAACGCCAACCACATTCAACTGCGTATCAGGACCTTATGTTAGACTAATACAAAAAAGTATTACCTGTCAATGTAGTTGTTATCCCGGCTGCAGTATAACTTCTCCCGGCTGCGTTATCGCCTGACCAGTCTTGACGCCTAAACACTTAGTACGCAAAAAGCAAATCATACTAACAAGTGGACTCACATCGTCACTCTCTTCATATTCCTCGACATTGGCGGTCATAGTGATGCCCTGTAGCTCGCTAGACTTGAGAGCCATGCGGGCAAGGTTCTCAAGATACTCGTTGTTCATTTCGTCAAGATCATCTTCGTCACTCGACAGTACTTCTGTAAATGTCAGCAAAACATTTGTTACAATAGTGAAGAGACACGGTGCAAAATTGAAATTTTTAAAAGTTCAAATATAAAGTTCAAAAAATCGATTCAACATTTCGGGGAAACATGACGTGTAGGTACTAGTTGAGGGTGTATAAACAAAACATGCCTTCGTCTTCTTCTTCGTCATCCTCTTCAGAAGATGTCTCCTCATCAGCCTCTGCCCTGATTTCGTAAGCTCGCTTCAGCCCATCAAACAGCACGAGACATGAGGGCAAGAGCTTGGGCATGATTTCATCAAGGTTAGGCCTTTGGGGACCCATTTCTAAGAGGGTGCAAATTCCGAGGACGCACAGCTTCCTGTCGTGCAATCTGGAAAACAAATTATATAGGAAGAAAGTGCATTTAGAATATTGTTTTATGAAGTAAAATGACATCGCAACATAATAATGTTTGTGTAATGGTGGTTTATGTATGTACACAAGTTTTAAGATACAAATAGTTTATCTTACCCCATGAAGCAATCAGTGTCATGGATCCATTGCTTTAGGAAATGCTGTGTGATAGATGCGTTGGGCACAGACTCCTGCAGCTTGTCTAATATTGTGAATAAGAGTTGGGGGTTGCAGTACAATATGGCAATAAGGACCTGCAATACAAAGTACACGATTTTAGTTATAAAACACTAAAGAGTATTAACAATAATCACA